CCCCAAAACCCCAAAACCCCAAAACCCCGAAAGATATGATTAGAGCTGAAATAGGGTAGAGAGATCAGACAATTAAAAACATAAGCATCAATCAGTATATTACTTTTAAGAATATATTGCGATATAATTATAAAGCCTATTCAAAATGGAACATCAATATGCATCTCACGAGAATGAAGGTGGGTTGAAAAATACAATAAGGAATTCTATTCTGATTCTTGTATTTGAGATGATTGGTACACTATTCTTAACCCTACTCTATGATTGCCATAGCAAAGTAAATTGCATCTATTATAAGTATATAGGATCTTGGAGGATTTCTATTGGGCTTCTTCGTATTGTTAATTTTCGGGGCAAAGGTATCAGGATCTCATTATAATCCATGCGTGACATTTGCATTCATGTTTAGAAAAGATACTGGAAAGTTTTCAAGAACCCTTGGAATTGCATACATTTTATTCTAGCTACTAGGAGCCTTTTTGGGAGGGTTATTAGCATTTTTCTTCAATGAATACAAGTAAATCACTTTTGGTATTGCGACAGAGTACGTTGGGTATGCTATTGCTGCTGAGATACTGGGCTCTTTCTTTTTGGCATTCCTCTATTTAACCCAAACTGAGGAGAAGACCAAGCTGTCTAAAGACCCAGCAATCACTACTTTGATTATTGCAGCTGCCTATCTAGGTGCTTTACTGATGGCCTCAGGTCCTTAGGACTATCTCGCTTGCCTGAATCCAGCTGTTGCTTTTGGCACATCCTTCTAGTAACTTTACACAGGAAGTGCTGATGGATGGAGTGTGTCTTATGTTTACCTACCCAGTCCCTTCATAGGTGGGCTAATAGCAGTTATATTCTTCGAGTTTGTGTATAAAAAAGTATTCGAAACCATTCAAAGCACTGAAGAAGATGATGCTTTGCTTGACAAAAATGATGACGAATGATCTGAAAGAATAAAACCTACATCGCACTTATAAATTTATGAAATCTAATAATTCACTCTTCAATCATTTTTGAGATCTGCAATAGATTTGTTTCATGGGGTTTTGGGGTTTTGGGGTTTTGGGG